TCGGATAGAGATCCGAGGTTTACTTTAGAATTTTGGAAGAGTTTGCAAGAAGCTTTGGGTACTAAGTTGAAGTTGAGTTCAGCTTACCATCCGCAAACTGATGGTCAGTCAGAGAGGACTATTCAGTCGCTGGAGGATTTGCTGAGAGCTTGTGTGTTAGAAAAGGCTGGTGCGTGGGATACTCATTTACCGTTGATAGAGTTCACGTACAACAATAGTTACCATTCTAGTATCGGAATGGCACTGTTTAAGGCTTTATATGGTAGGAGGTGCAGGACTCCTCTGTGTTGGTATGAAACAGGTGAGAATATGGTCTTAGGACCTGAGATTGTGCAGCAGACTACTGAGACCATTCAAATGATTCGTGAGAAAATGAAAGCGTCTCAGAGTAGGCAGAAAAGTTACCATGATAACCGAAGGAAAGAGCTGGAATTTAGTGAAGGTGATCACGTATTCCTAAGAGTTAACTCAATGACCGGTGTGGGTCGTGCGTTGAAGTCCAAGAAGTTGGATTCTAAGTTTATTGGACCGTATCAGATTTTGCAGAGAGTTGGTGTTGTAGCTTATAGAGTGGCGTTACCACCTGAGCTTTCGAATTTGCATGATGTGTTTCATGTGTCGCAACTTTGAAAGTATGTCTCAGATCCGTCTCATGTGATTCAGAGAGATGAAGTTCAAGTCCGAGAGAATCTTACTGTTGAGTCGATGCCGTTGAAGATCGAAGATCGTAAAACGAAACAACTCCGAGGGAAGGAGATATCCTTGGTGAAAGTGGTTTGGGGAGGTGCTGCAGGAGGCAGGGTGACCTGGGAATTGGAAAGCAGGATGCGAGAAGTGTATCCAGAATTGTTTCCATAAGGAAATTTTCGAGGACGAAAATAATTAAAGTGGGGGAGAGTTGTAACACCCATTTTAATTATTTAGTCTTTTTGGTGTTATTTTTGTTTGGTGTGTCCTTGTGTGGGGGTGTGTCTGAGTGCGTGGTGGGTACCCTTAAGTTATGGGGATTGTTTAATAAGTATGGAATTTGATATTAATAAAATATAAATAATATTAGTGGTAATATAATAATTAATGGTAATATTATTATTATTATTATTATTATTATTATTATTATTATTATTATTATTATTATTATTATTATTATTATTATTATTATTATTATTATTATGACTATTATTAATATTATTATTACTATTATTATTAGTTATTATTATTATTATTGGATTAAATAAATAAAATAAGAAGTTAAAGGGGGTATTAGAGAGTTTTGGAGAGAGGAAAGAGAGAACACGATAAAAATCAGTTTTAGAACAAAGTAAGAGGGAAAAACAAGAGGAAGAAGGGAAGAAGGCTAGGGCTAACGATTCTTGAAGATTCTTCGTCAATCGGAGCATTAATCGAGGTATGAGGGGAGAAACGGGTTAAGATTGGTAAATTGCATGAGCAGGGTAGAGGGGATTCCTTAACTTCGTATGAATTTGGTGAATACGAATGAAATATTGAAATATTGATGATTCTTGTTGTTGTTATGATGAATTGGATGTGCATTGATGTGTTTATGAGCATGGCTGCCATTGATGACTTTGGGTACTTGTTGTTGGGAGATTTGTGAAGTTCTGAGTAACTTCTGTAGTTCTGATGATGAACATAGGTGTGGGTTCTGGAGTTAAAATTGATAGAAAATGATAGAGTAGTGTTTATTGGTTGTAGTATTGATAGGACTGAAGATAGAAGTAGAGTGATAGGCTTGAATTTGAGCAAGATAACAGTTCTGGACTGTGAGGATTTTGAGAGATCGCAGAACTCGCTAAGCCAGCGATTCGCTAGGTAGTTCGCTAGGCGAGCTAGTAGCGAGTGTTCGCTAGGACTTCGCTAGGCGAGATGGGTAGCGAAGGCCTCCAGTAGCCACTGTCTGCCTTCGCTAGGGAGTTCGCTAGGCGAGCAGCTAGCGAGCGTTCGCCAGGGCTTCGCTAAGCGAATGAGCCAGCGAGCGTGACAAAATGTGTTTTGTGCTGTATCGCATTGTGATTCGTTTTGTAGGATCATTGGGATGGGACAGGTACATATGTGGTGTTTAGTGGTGAAGAGTATATACTTGGTGTTAATAGGTGAAATTATGTAGTATTGAATTTCATCAAAATAGTTAAATTGATGTGTGAGATGTGTATGAGGTATGGTGAGGTGATCAAGGGGATCGTGTGACTTTAATTAAAATAATTAATTGATGAACAATATGTATGTATGATGTATGGTGATGTGATCAGGGGATCGTGTGCACCTTGTGTGCTTGAGTTCATTTGTTGTGCATTTGGTGTTATGCATATCATGGTGTTTGGTGGGACGAATCATTGCTCAGGAGGAGTGTATGTGATTCATCCGTACTCCATTGTGGAGAATGGTGGGGATAGATCATGGCCAAGGACGGGTGTATGTGATCTATCCGGGGTTCAATTGAATGAACCAATGAGTCGGTACCGCATGCATAGTGTTGAGTTGCATAGTTACATTATGGTGTGTTGTGTTGTTGTTGGACAGTAGGTCGTTTTTGATGAATGTTGGGTGATATTTTATATGATTGCTACCTTTATTTCATGTACTGTATTACCGATAATTTTGATCATGTTTTCTCACCCCTTTGTTGTTGTTGTGATCTGTACTTCTTCGGAAGTACAGATAATTCAGGTACTTAGCTAGCTTGGATAGTGGTGTGCGAGTCGAGTCTTAGGATGCTCTGATACGTAGCACCGGACTTGGGTGTTTATTTGTTTTTATGTTGAACTTGTTTTATTTCCTGTGACGTATCATGTCGGTGAACATTTTAATGAATCTTTTTATGTAATTCGGCGGATGGGCGAGAATGATGAATTAAGGATTATTTCCGCTGCTTTGTTTTGAAAACCTTCTAATGAGGAGTATTATGGATTATGTGATGTGATATCCCACTTGTTGAGGGGAGACTCTGATGTTTATTTAGATTAATCGTATTTTATTTTAATTTTGGGAAGTGGGGTGTTACATGGAGAATTCCTACCATGATGCTCATGAGCACCAATAATAGCATTAAAATCTCCCATGAAAGACCACATAATAGAGTGCAAAAAGAGGAGCTGGTTGAGATCATTCCAAAGTTCTCTCCTTTTAGTGAAATTGGTATATGCATACACGGTAGCACAAGCTAACAAATGGTTATTCATAACAAAATTGAAAGCAACATATTGGTCAGAGGAAGATAAGATGACAGGAGAAAAATCTTTAATATAAAAACACCATAAAGATGGCTGAACTTTATTGTTGAAAGAAAAAAGTTTGAAACCTAGGCGATTAAACCAGTTGGAAGGGAACTTAGCACAATCCAATTTGGGTTCTGCTATGAAGATGAAATCGGGATGATGATGAAGCTTAATGAGTCTCTTAAGTGCTAAACTAGAAGGAACATTAGCATCTTCACAAATATTCCAATAGAGGCACTTCATGATGTAAGGTGTTTACGTCCTGCTTGAGACCTTGTTGAATATTGTTGTTTTCGCCTAGTTGATTGCTTCTTTTTAAGTTTGTTTAGCGGAGAAGAAAAAACACCTTCACTCAGATTTGGTTTATCCCCAATTGCTTCCAGAACAACCCATGAGTTGTTTAAGAAAACCACATCTGCAGCAGGTGTATCAGTCACTGGATCTGCTTGGGTAGCTTTCATAAATGTAGCTAGTTGAGAGTCCGACTTCACCAAAGGCTGCGAGACAAAGTTTAGCGGATTTTGAATGATTAAATTATGCTCCATAGAAGGCAAAATCAATTATGCCTCTTGGTTGACATCCAAGTCTTGACCTTCCTCTCTCGTATCGTTTCTACTAGAATTGAGATCATCATCAACACCATTAATGTGTGACCTCAAATTTGCACCCTGCAGAGTAGAAGACGATTTAGAAACATAAGTCGTCTTAATTTTTTGAATCGTTTGGAGTATTGGTTTCTTCAATTGTTTGCAGTGTTGCACATCATGCCCTGATTTCTTGCAATGTGAGCAAAAGTCAGGAAGACTTTCGTACTCAATATCATGGAAAAAAGAAAAGCCCTCCCTTTCGGCAAGAACGTTGTGGTTGATAGGTTTAGAAAGATCCATATCAATTAAAACTCGGACAAACTGACCAAAAGTTCAGTCAACTCTAGATTTAAAAGACGCTGCATCAATGCATATGGGCGTTCCCACACAACTGGCAATGGCGAAAAGGATACGAGGCCTTCAATATTCTTGAGGTAAACCATAGAAACGAATCCAAACCTACGCAAAAGTGTTATGTTGAGAGGATGGGTTGAAATCTTTCGACCAAACAAAAAGCTTTAAAAAACCTAGGCTTAAGCTAATCTATCCCTTTGCTCTGACACGTCTCATATCTTTAACATTTAAAAATGTGAATTTATAATATCTCTTTTCAAGTGATAATACTCCCCAGTTTTTGATATCAGACCAGATCTACTAAAGTTTCTATTATTAATTGGGTGTGATACAAGATAGTATTTTATATATACTTCATCATTGCTTAACACAATCTGAATTACAATATAAACGTATAACTATTTTAACTAATTGACAATTAATTACAAACTATTTTCGTTAACTACACTAACATCCTTTTTTAATTAGGACTTATTTGAATTAGTTTCAACAACGTCCCTTCTCTAATAACATATTTATTAAATTATTTACAAGAAACATTTTTTTTTTGGTTTGGCTTAAAAAAATAAATAATAAATTCAAAGTATGACTCACCTAAAATAAAATACGTGTGTAATATATTAATTTTTAAAGTGAAAAGCATATCCCAACCAATTTTCATTCAAGCACCCTATGCCAACAGAATCATCCAACAAAGACATTTCAATTTTCAATATGTCTCAAATAAAGTAAAAAGAACAAAACAAAAAACATAATAATATAATAAAAGAAAGTGAAAAGATTTTCCTTTTTTTCAAAGCTGAGACCTTTGAGCTAGGAATCATCCATGGTGTTCTCTATCTCCAACTCCAACTCACTCTTCTTCTTCTTCCTCTTCCTCTTTCTCTTTGTCTTCCAACCCTTTCATACGGTGATTGCTGAAGATGGTTCATCTAGAAGACCCTTTTCCACCAGCAAAAGACCCATTCTCCTCAACTGTGGAGAGCTGGTGTTGAAGTCAAAGTGTTCACAGAACTCCAAGTGCAGCTGGTGCAGCAGCCAAGTCCTGGACGATACTTGCTTCTCTAAATCTGAAGCTTTAAGGTTGCCTCACCAGGTTTTCTCTTGTGGGCCCACCCGTTTATGAGATCTATCTTTTCTCATTTGGATCTGTATTAACCATTTTCATGTACCCTTTTGTTTTTCTTTTGGTTAATATATAGTTAATTACTTATCTTGATTTGTATGATTTATATATTTGAATTTTGTTATTGCTGTTTTTGCATTTTATTGCATTATTAATCATTTGTTAACAACTGAGGTAGTTTAAATCAACATGAATATACATGATATTCAAAGATAACAAATCATAATGCTGAAACATTATTAAAGTAGAAGCTAAATAGTTCACTATTTGTTAACTCAATCCAATTTCAGGTCTTTTTACTTTTTTTTTTTTGGAAAGCTTTTTCCCAACTAGCTAAAATTTTCATCAGTTATGGATAAGTTTTCCTGGTAAGTTGATAATGAAATGAAATCTTCCTTCTCTATTGCAACTCTGTTTTTATAGCTCCTAGAAAATCAGGACAATCTTTGTGATGATAATGTTGATGTTTTGTGTTGCGACAATTGTCTAAAGATTGGTTTTAATGGTATAGCAAACAACTTGATACTAATGGTTTTGTCTATTCTATCTTGTGTTTTCTGTATTGCACAACCTGAAAATTGTAGTCATCTATATTTCTGTTGTCCTTTTGCTTATAGTTTCAAGTTGATGTTTGTGAGTGGTTGGCCTTTCGTTGTTTTTGTTAAGAGTGATACGTTTCAAAATGGTTGGGCTTTCATGGTTTTTTTGGATTGCCTACCTCTCTAAAATCTTATGAAAACCAAAACCCTGTAGCACAGTTGAAAGATTGGAATCCTGACGCGCCAAAATACAATAATATGAGACTATATTGGATGTAATTTATGTATATATGTATAGGGTAAATCCGAATTTCAATATTGGGATTCCAATCTCTGGCTTATTTCTTGTACATTTGATAACAAATGGGGGATTTGGATTACAATCTCTAGATGCACCTCTAGAATAATATTATTGGTATAAGTTAATGTGGCAGTTTTGGAGAACATAAATCTTAAGCCATTCATAAACTAAATGTCATTCTAATAAAAAGTGAATTTTCATAAGTTATTCACACATTAGCTATTTGTATAAGTCATTCACACATCAATCATTTGCATAAACCATATATATTTCATACCATAGTCATTAAAAAAAATGATTAAATCAACATACAAATTCAAATCCAACTAATGTGTATATCTAATGCCCCTGTTATTCCTCAACCTCTTATATTGTAGTGTAAATCATGTCTTTGATAATATCGCATTCAAAGTGACCCTCTCATGAATGCTTTCCTGAAACTCTTCTATAGTTATAGCATCTATTTCAAATGTAACAATATAATGACATAGAGGCAATATATCTACGCCACGGTCCCCCATTGTCTCTTCCTCTTTTAGTATCTCGTGATGAGCTAGTATAAAGATCTCTTTCTGGCACTTGTGTCATATTATTTACCGTGAAAATTGGTAAACAACTGCTAATCTTCCAAAAATGATTTACTTGCGGGATGAACCAGTGAATTCTTAGGACATAACTATTGTTAAAATAATCTCTGAAAATGTCAAGAACACTTCGACAGTGCTCAGACTTGTGAAAGATTGTTTAAAAGTTTTGAAAAGATAAACTTGCAAAATTGTAAAGTTTCAATAAAGATAAACTTTAAAGTAAAAGTACAGTAAAGAGATAAATGATAAATTGCAAGTAATTTGAATTGAAATAAATGTGGTATTTCAAACGTACATTCTCAATGAAAACTCTTTTCTCACTTGACTTAGATATTTTGAGTGATTTTTTGAGTATTTGTACAATAACGAACACATAGAAATCCTAATACTAAGACTCTTATTTATAATATGTCGGAAATAATTGTCTTCAAAAGATATTCTTCCAAAAATTGACACGTTGCACTCTGCATGCCTTCGTTTCGTCACAATTCTCCACGCGTCCTTCCTTGAGAAACGAATAAGGACAAAGACAATTATTATCCGTATTTTAAAGTTTAAACTTCTGTCAAAGGGAAGTCGCATACATCCTCCGTCGAAGTTGTTGTCCAGACTTGGAAAATATTTCTAAGTATCTTTCCAGCATCTTCCTTATGAAGACTCTTTTCGACTAGGATTCTAACACATGGTCCTGTCATATTCAACAACTCAAGAAACATTTGATTTTTATTTATTATTCTTAAACAAGTCTTGGCGTTGAAATTCTCATCCAACAAATTGCCCCCCAAAAAATTCGTTTTCGACTAAAGGAGAAAATGACATTTTTTGAAGCTCACATTCAACGCCAAAGAACCCCTTTATCTGTTATGACGTCATTGTCATCATGACAAATTTTCTCAAACGTCTCATTAAAATCCATGTGTGAATCCTTTTAATCATCATGCACCTAGTCCTCTAAGAGATCGTGGGTCTCATTAACTGCTACCGTCTCATCACGCAACCCCTGCATGACACACGTCCCACGATGTCTTCCACCATTAATGTGTATAGTAAACCGCTTCCACTTCATCTATCTATAAATAATGAAAGATACCATTTTTTAATATTTTTCACTCTCTGAACCTTTTTAAGAAAACTTTCTCAATTCTTCATCTCTTGTAAACCCTTTTTTCAAATCTACCTCATCAATGGCATCTTCAACTAAGGCTTCAGTCAAGAACACAAAGGAGCCCAAGAAATCTTCAGAGCTTGCTCCAATTCACAAAATTTTGGGCCCAATAGTAGTAGGCAACCAACAATACATTCTTGAACCACCTTGTAAAGAAGAGAAGCGTAGAATCTATCAATCTCAGGTACTCATTCTCGTTCTTGTTTTTGGCAAAGCACATGCTATGTTAGGTCCTCTTAACCTTTTTGCTGATCCTGCTAAGGTTAAGGAATTTTCCCCTGCCTATCATTGATATAAGTCTATAGCAAATGGTCAAAAACTTAGGCCTAGTGAAGAAATTAGGGTTGATGAAAGATCGAAGGTTGATGGTCAAGGTTCTCCTTCGACTATAGCTTATAGAGACCCCATTAACTTAGAGTACATGAACAATAACTTTAAGGTATTTAGGTCATGCCCCTTATTTAAAGACCCCTATGACTATCTTGCTTGGCTGAAAAAGATAGAGAAAGCAAAATCCCAATTTTGGAAAGACATGGGCATCTTCGACATGATCCAGATGTCGAAGGTGGGACTTGGTTATTACTTGTCCATGCTGATTGCTTCTCTATATTTTTGGGATAACACACATAACAATTTTCGTCTTCCTTGTGGAATGATGACTTCAACCTTATTCGACGTGGCTGCCATAACTGGGCTTAAGCTAACTGGAGAATCCAATGATCCCAACTTTTTAGCTGAAGAATCTATAGGTTTTGACGCAACCAAAGCAGCCTTCACAACCTATATTTCCCATTATCATGATAAGAATGGGGAAGTGTCTGATCAAGAACACATTGCATTTCTTGCTCTATGGATTTCCAATTATGTCTTATGTTCAAGATTCCTTCAGGTGGCAAAAAGATACTTAACAATGGCTAATCAATTGCACGCTGGACACAATCTTTGTCTTGGCAAAATGATCTTAGCCAATCTTTATGAATCTTTAGGGGAAGGCATTACAACACTGAAAACCCTTAAGTTCAAAGGAAACCTGCCTCTCTCTGGCCCATTTTGGCTATTACAACTATGGCTAAATGCCACATTCGAAATGTACCTTCCTGTTCGTAAGCTTATTAACAAAGAATCTATCGAAGGGAAGAACAGGAGAGTCGAAGGCACAAGGCTTATCACGCTAACCCCAAATGATGAAAGGTTAAATCTTTAGAAAACCTTCACTAGCCATGCGATGATGTTTGACAAACACTACAACTTTTCCCCCCAGCATGGCTCCTTTTGCAGATAGAAAAGTTGGTCCTGAATGGTTTACCAGAAGATTCCCTACTCAGTCGAAAGACCAAGAAACAAAGTCTTTTGAGATATGGGAGGCTTTCTTAACCCCAAGATTGCTAGCCACACGACTTAATCCTTCAAGAATTCGATTCACTCTTGTTAGCTACCAACCAAACCTCGTCGCTCGACAGTTTGGTATTATCCAAATCAAACCAAAACCACTTTTCCCCAATAAAGGTTCTTTGATGCATTACAACATGATCCATACTGAAACGAAGTGTAACAGATCAGTGGCTAAATACAACAGCCTTACACAACTCACCCCTGTAGCCTTCGAACCATCTTTTCTTTGCACCAAAGAGTTCGAAACTTGGTGGAAGGATTACTACAATACAGAATTTTTCGATGTAGCTGCTTTCAACCAACATCTAACTCATGCCTTTGCCCTTATGCAAGAAAAGTTAAGAAATGCATTTTAACTCATATCAAAGAGATCCAAGCATTCCAAAAGTACTTTGAAACTGCTTACAAACCCGATGATCTTAGTCGAACCATTAGCGAAGTAGCAGACACATTGGAGGAAAAATTTAAAAAGAAACTGGAGGATTTAAAGTTACCTTCGTACGTTAAACCTGACCAATGGTACAAGTTAGCTTTCAACTTATATCCTCCAAAATTCCCTCGACTACCCAGTGCTGAATTTGGGGTGGCTTTTAGTCCTTCATTTCTAAACTGGGTCTCCTATGGGAATTTTGTGAAAATCCTTCGACAAGAGTCACAAAAATGTACTAAGCGAGTGGTTTCGAATAAGTATATTCTAGACAATTTCAAAGGCCACCTTCGTATTGGCATAGAACATGTTCGTGTGAAGTCCCCAATATATGAAGGTGTGGAATGAGCGATTATTTGACATCAATTCTTTCATAATTTTTTTCTTTATTTTTACTTGTGTTAATTGCATTGATTTTCTTACAGCTATAAGGGTTCCTGCTAAGAAACCCGTTGCGACTGAGAAGGATGTCGTTAAAGGAGAAGGCAAAGACAACACCAACAAAACAACAACAAAGGTAAACTTTGTAATAATTTCTTTTCCATGTATGTCTTTCATGTTCTGATATTAAAGTACATTTCCTTTCAGG